AACAATAGCACAAAAAGCAAAATTTAATCACATATTCACATTTTGATTACGTATTCAATATGACAAGCATCTTGTAAAATGCTGATCCATACAATGACAATTAACTTACCAAAACGAAAACCTAAAGAGCTCATAAGCGCTTTATTGCATATCACAATAGATACTGATGAAACAACAGATAGAGACAAAGCTCCAATGGTGCCAAGCTGAAAGCGCTTGTTCTCACTCATCCTTTCGGCTACAGCTCCTTGCTCCGCTAATTTATCTAGATCGAACAACAAATAAAGATAAACCTCAACATTCCACAGCAACAATCAAATGAAACAAAAAAATCAGTATGTACAAAATCTCACATCTGAAAGAAATACTTCCCAAAAACCAGCAACAAATTTGATCCAACACCACAAATTCTTCACGCTACCATTTTCAAAATTCCGTATAATTACAGATCCAATCAAGTTAACAAGCCTGTAAATGTATATTTTGTATGGATTTGAGAAACTTTTCGACTTCAATTTTAGGGTAAAAGGCTATGCAGTCAGTTCCAACTTCCAACTACAGTCTGGTACAAAGCGAGTGTATACAGAGAGTTTGATAATTTTGTATTCTGAAAATGTGAGTAAATTATATGTATGCAAATCTCAGTCAAAATCTGAGAAGGGGGACTCTGATGGAAGGGACGTGCTTGCATCTTCAACAAAAAAACAATTAACTCAATTAGTCTCTTAATATTGAAGGTTAGTACGGATTGGTCCTTAAAGTTTAATACTGAACATATAGAGTCCACCAAGTTTGGAATTTCTTGTTACTTTTAATTTGGTCCAACGTTTAATGATGTTTATCCAGTTAAGGAAATTAATTATTCCTTGAGTATTATATGTTAGACCAAATATTTTTTATTTATTTGAAAATTAATGTCTGATCATAAGTTTTAAATAAGAAGTTGTATTTCAAATTGAAAAGTCATTCAAAATCTTATTTTTACTTTCACTCTATTTACAATCAAATAACAATTGTAAAAATTTAAAATAAGCACACCTCAATCTTCAGCTTTAAATTTTTTAAATATAGTGAAAAAATATTTTTAATAGTATGTTGTAGCTCGTATATGGAAATCTAATCTATGACATTATATAGTTATCTATTTTGGGATATTACTTTTTTGGAAAAGATTTAATTGTATGTTTAGGTAAATTAATCAAGTGGGGTGATTTTGATAGTTTTAAACAATTGAAAGGTACAAATCATATTTAGAAAAAGTACATTTAAATTCTAAGCATAATACATAAATATGTCCTTTAAAAATTGACTTCAATTGACATCTATGTTCTATAGCTATGTGTGTGAAAGTAGACATTTTAACATGTATAAAATTGAATAAGTATACACACATGTTCGACAGTGCATAATACACTCAAGACTCTACATAAGATATAAAATTGTCATAAGGACGTCACATATGACGAATGTGTCTATTTTAAAACTCACAATTGAAGGATATAGATGTCAATTGAAATTAAATTAAATGTCATATTTATGTATTATGTCAATTCTAAATGTTCTTCATAAAGTGTATGACCAAACATATTTCAATTCCAACTCCAACTTTAACGTTATTTTTAAAAAAAATAAAGTGAATTTTTTTCGTGGTCAAAAGTCCACTTAATACATGAAAAATTGCAAATATGAATCTGGAGTCCCTACAATTCTTTTGTTTCAAATAAAAAAAATGATGTAATACATAATTAAATCTTAGGTAATATTATTTTAATTAGCAAGGAAAAAAGGTATTTTTTCTTCATTGGTATTGCAATGAATAGTTTGGAATAAGCATCTTTTGTTCTTGTTGTAATGCAATGACTGTTATGTTAATTCAGACAGAAATTAAAAGAAAGTTACAGCATGTTTGATATCGTTAAAAACGGTTTATTTTTAAAAGTATTTTCATAAGATAGCTTTTCAAAAAAAGTGCTTTTGAAAAAAGAATTTGGCTAATTCATTTAAAAAGTGTTTTGATAAGCAAATTGTGTTTGACTAATTTAAAAAAATAAATGCTTTAGAGAGTTAAATTACGAAAAAGGACAAGTATCAATGTACTTCTAATATTAAGATTATTTTATAGAAATAAACTATTTAAATTTCTATTCCAAAAGTTTTAATTAATTTTTTATTTTAATTAAATTAAAATGTACCGTTCAACTTTTCAAACAATATTATACATAAATTAATTAATTAAATATTAATATAACATTAACATTATGATTTAAATATAATTAAAATATCAAGCAAACTAAATTTAAAAACTATTCCACAAGTTAAATCACTACATACGAAAAATAATATTGTTTTCTTAAAAAGCATTCTACATAAATTTTATTCTTTCTATTCCTGCAAAAATATGGTTATTACCTTTATTTCTAATTCTATAAAATAGTACGTAAAATAATATATAAAATATAAAATATAAAATATGAAATAATAATATATAAAATATGGTTTCTGTAAAGTTTGTTCTTTCAATTTACTTTATTCATTGAGACTTTATATGACAAAGAGGCACCATAAATAATAGGGTTTCACTCTTGTCTTATACTACTACATACCTAGTTTTGACTCAATTGAATCATGCCGTCCAAATGATAAAAGTTAGAGACAGCAATTATATTTGACTTGTCATTTAATTGATCTTTATTTGTTATTATATATGATTTTCTCTTTATTATATCTGGATTTGTAACCTTTTTAATAAAAAAAAATGTGAATTTGGCATTTCACTAAGGTAAAAAAATAGTTTCGAGAAAATTCATCTGTAAAAACTTGGAATATGTAACTGTCAAATAATTAATAGTATTATTTTAAGAAGAAATGGAGAAAACTTCTTTCGAGAGCATACATCTACTTCTAATGCAGGTTGTTAAAAACATAAACAATAAACCAATGCTTATGATTTACGAATTTGGTCCTTAAATGGTAAATTTGGGGATATTTTGTGATCAATGTAATCTTAATTTTTGTTACCTTTCTCTTTCTGATGTGGTTGAAATAGATATTTTAAAAGGTGGGTGTGTGAAGTGAGACGTTTTACAGAGTATGAGATGAGGCATAAGTCTCGCGAATTTTATGAAAAGTATATCTCATGTATCTTCAATTTTATAATTTTATTACTAAGTAAGAGTAATAAACAAATGAATCAGTAATAGTATAGACAAAAATATTACTACAATTATTAGATTTGATAGAGGTAACAACACCAAAATAATAATAGCTGAGATAATCTTTAATATGAAATCATTATTCATTTTATCATTGATCTCCACATTTACTAGTCCTTCCCATCCTCAATTAATATTTACACTGATTATTATTTATATATTTCAAAAAAAGAAGTATGATATAAAGTGTAAGAGTGATAACAAAAAATGGAGAGAATTGCCTAAAAACATAGTGTTATGGACTTCTATTATATCAATATCATGATTATTTGAACAAGTATTTATTAGGAAAAAAAGTTTGAAATATATCCAAACTTTTATCGAAATTATTGTAACAATCCTAATTTTTGTGCAAGATATATTATCCCTGCATTATTTAATAGTGTATTTCAAAGATACATAAGTGTTCAACTGGACAAGTTATTATTTATAACGATACAATATTTATGATGTCCACGTGGTCACCTATATATCTTTAAAATACAATATTAAATAGTGCAGGGGGTAATAGGTTCTGCACAAATTTTGGAATTGTTAAGCAATTTCGATCAAAGTTCGGATATATTTCCCTATTTATTATAATGTCAATTTTTATGATTATTGCTTTCTCTATTTATACATATTTTAAAAAATCACTATAACATGAAAACACAAGTGTAAATATCATTACGCTAATAATAAAACAAATATAATTTATTGAAAAAATATTTTAAAATAATAAAAACTAAAAATAATGTTCAGAACTTACTCTTTTACGTTCATGACTTATATATTAAAATAAATTCTAAAGTGGACACACAAATTCTAAGGTATACGCCTTATAGATCACACTCCAAAATATTTTTGATACGTCTCCAGCCCTGAGATTTGCCCGAAGACTTTGAAAACACTGGTTGAGACACCGATAACTATGAGACCAATGACCCTAAATTACAAACTAAAAGGACTCTTTATGTTTAATTGTTAATAAAAAGGACTAAATCAAGTCAATCCATAAACTTAATGGAGCAGCTGTGTTATTTTTATCGCATATCCAGCGCTGATGAACGTGGGATGCGTTTTTTTTTTTTCAATTATAAACGCGGAATAGCTGAAAAAGAAAAAGACCCTGGTGTGTTTGATTGATGTTTACGGGAACCATTCTCCTGAAAAAATTAATTTTTTTTTATAATATAAGTAAAAAAGATATTATTTTAAAAAATATTATTTCAATATTATTTGTCTCAAGGAGTGACGGATAAAGTGGGGAGTGGGGGTGGGGGAACGGGAGTCTGAGAATAACAAAAATAATCAGAACAAGGAATGCCATTTGTCAAATTTATTTTCTTTATTTAATTTTATAAGTCACGTCAATTTTCTTATTTAAAAAAAAATTATTTTATTGTAAAAAAATTTAACTAGACAAATGTAGAAAAATTGATCATTTAAGGATATGATGTAATGGTTAATAAATGAAATAAGTTGAAAATTATGATGTTTTAAATTTAAATTTCAACTCAAAGTAAATAAAAATGTTACAGTAGGTAATTTCTTTTTATCTATTTATAACAATTATTTTAAATCTATTATTAGTGGGAGATGAAAAGTATCACGTGAAATCGATTAAAAAAGACAAAAAACTGAAAAATGTTTTCTGACCTACCAAACACATTTGAGTGGAAACAATTGAAAAATGACGGAGCGTGAAGGACAAGCACTAGTGGCGCGTGAAGATATTGCTGAACTAAAGCAGCCGCATCCACGTCATAATTACCCCCACACGGGAAAAAAAAAGATGTTCTCATTCTCATTGTAATCATCGATTGGTTGGTTGAAATTTTTAGTACCAAATTAGCTTCCTTCCATCATGATTATGGACTTCAACATACCCTACTAAGGAATCAGATTTTGTTTAGCTATAGGTTTAAGTATGCGAATTTCTCTATCTTCCTTCTTCAAAACTTCAAATTTGGGGTTTTGTGATGTGAATTTTGATACTTTATAGTGAAATTCAATGGGGCATTCCGACGATCTTTGCAACATAGAAGGGGACGGAGATGGGAGAAGTAATAACGGTGCTTCTGATGCTCCGTCAACATCGGCGGCGACTAGCTCTGCTTACAAGTTGTTCGGCCGGGAAACCTCTTTCCACCAGATGATGGGCGGCGGAAAAGGTAAATTCCTCTATTTTTTTCCTTATTTCATCTCATAGAGATCAGCTGGCAGAACTTCGCTCTCCGGTTTAACTGTTACGCCAAGTTTCATAGAAATGAAGCTGATATTTTGTCTGAAAATATGACCATATAACCTCGATTAAATATGAATTCTGAGTCTTAAGTTTGTGATTTTATGTTAGGATAGCAATTATAATGTATTGATCCAAGGACTAAGACTAGGAAGCGTGTAAAGTGAAAAACTATGCCTGTATATGATTCTCTTTTGTGCTCATGCTGGAAATGCCTGGAACTGTGGCCCTGCCGCTTTATGGTTGAACTTTCTGACTTTATTCATGGCGGTATAGAGCTTAACAACTCATGTTATTACTGGTTGAATCACTTTTTTATGCGTATTTCTCTCTTGCCTTGTATGAGGGATGTGTTCTAAAAATAGATTTTGGTAGTAGAGCTCAATCATTATATGAATCAAAGATGGCTCTCTAATGAAGGCTTAGTTATATTTCTTGACAATCTCCACATATGTTAGCTTCATTACCTCCTCTACTTCCTCTTTGAGTGCAGTAGCTTTCTCAATGCAGTTGCTAAATGGTTTACATTTTCCTTAAGTTGTGTCTTTTGCAAATTTGTTCTTGTTGCTTGATGACTTTTTTGTGACTGACTTGTTATTTCACTTGGTATAAGCTGCTGACGTTATATTGTGGAGGCGGAGGCGTGTCTCTTTTGGCATCATTGTTGCTGCTACAGTCGCATGGATCATCTTTGAGTATTCAGAGTTACCTTTCTTGTCAGTTTCTTCTGATGTTTTACTGATTCTGATAGTTCTGCTCTTTCTCCGTGCGAACTATGCAGCCTTCAGGAAGAAGTATTGTTCCCATACTCATTTCACTAATTTGCTCAGATATTTGTCTCCTTCTGTGTTTCGTTCTCCTATGGAGAAGTTCAACTGATATTTCTTTTTTCTATCTTCGACAGACAACTCCCAGCATTACCAGAGTTAGTCTTGTCAGAAGAAATGGTTAATAATGCTGCAGCATCATTTCGGGTCAAAATTAATTATATGCTTCTCATGGCTCATGATATCACTCTTGGCAAAGATTTCAAACTCTTCTTCAAGGTTAGTGCTCGTTAAGCGTGAGGATGTGATTCCTTATCCAAAAACAACAAAAAAAGGGCCAAAAACATAGGGGTGTGATTAATGCTGGACATTGTGCATCCAACTACAATAAATTAAACTAAATCATGAGCTCTGAAAAAACTTAAACAATGATCTCGAATTAGGTATTTAAGTGTTTTTCCCAAGTGCATAAACTGAAGAGAGAAAATTAGAATTGACCTGGAATCATGTTGAGAAAGGGAAAAAGCCATTGTTGTTATGTAATGTTTTAACTTTCAAGATAACAGAGTGGAGAATATCTAGTAACTCTGTGACATCGGTTGCAGATGACCAGTAATGTATTGTTTTCATTCAACAATTATAAGGTGCTTATGAATCTCGATGTTTGTAGTTTGATTTATTTCATAGTGAGTAGTAAGTATTACCTGGGGAATTTGTGGAGCGTAATTTGTGCCTTTAGGCCCACAACTGGCTTCATCTCCTTTCTGTCTTACGTGCAATAAATTATCCAGCTTGACTAGCAATTGATGATGTTACAGTAATCTACTTCCATAGAGCTACCCTTGGTAGCTGATGCTTAACTTATGGGTTGTAGTTATCATATCTTGAATATTGCGTCCTACTTTATTCTTAGGATACAAGTGTTGGACTGTTGGTTATAGTTTTGACTAATTGTCATTTGCATAGAACTGAGCTGGCCAATTTTTGACATGTTTGCAGGTAGTTATTGTTCTGTGGCTTCTATCTGTCATAGGAAGCGTAATATCTTTCTTCACACTTGCATATATTGGTATGTGCCTATTTCATTACATTATATGATGTAACTTGATGAATCTTTATAGATATATGTGTTCAATGAATTTATCCTTCCCTATTTATTTCTTGTTGTACTTTACTGAGTTTCCTTGGTCCCTTGTTTGACTGAGCACCCTTGTTCCAATTTAGTAAGGACAAACAAGAGAAACAGATTTGAATAGATTACTATAGTATTAAACTTATGAATCATACTATGGAAAAGAGCAATAAAGTACAAACATCGGGTAGATTTACTATGGAGACTCTATTTTGCTAACAAGATTTACAGAAATTTATTGTAAACAGCAAAATGGTTTCATATTCGTTTACATAGAGAAAATATATGATGAAGTAAGAATGTTCTTTGCTGGGTCTTTGAGACAAAACAACGTACATATCAAAAGTAACATGTAAAAAGAAAAAGAAAGTATACACATAATAAGTATGAATACTGTAACGCAGTAACGGATATGTAAGAAGGAGGGGTTGCATGTTTGAGAACAGTTGGAGCCTTGGAGGAGATTTAAAAGTCTCTTATACACATGAGCCTACGTTGGGAGTTTTGTTGAGCTTGTATTTAGTTATGAATGAGATAATCAATACTCAATAGTACGGAGAATGAAGATTTAAGGTGCATGCTATTTGGGGATGACATTGTATTAATTGACGCAATTAGTCAAGGAGTCAACCAAAAGTTGAAAGCATAACGAGCATTACTACAGAGGGTAATGATTTTAATGATAAGTAAAAATAAGACAAAGTATATGTAGTAAATTTAGCTTCCATAAGAAGATTAGTGCCTAAAAGTAGTCAATTAAGATATTTAGGCTCAATCTCTTCTAAGAATGACATGCTTGAAGAACTAACATAAATTCAATGGTCCTACTCTAAGTGGAATAAGTGATTGATGGACCCGGATGATTGACTATGGAAGGGAAAGGGATTGGAATTTTCTTGGTAAAACCCTTCTACAAAACTTTATTGAATTGAGAGGATACAATATTTTTATGCTTATCGGTTTGGATTCCTAGAGCTCGTAGGAAAGTATGCTCTCTCACTTCATTAGCAGTAAGAAGGGAGATTCTCTTAGTGGAAAACTTGAAGAAGAAGAGGATTACGTATGTGAACTTTGTGCTACATATGCAAAGACTAGGGAGAATATCTTGATCATTTACAGTTAAACTGTCCGACCGTAGACTAGTTATGATAGACTATGCTGAAAAATTTCAGAATATTGTTGTCAATGCTACCTGTAGTTGTGGATGTGTTGTTCAATTAGGTATCGAGCCAATGGGAAAAAGAAGGCAAAGACATTGAGATGTAGCTGGCCTTTTTGTGGCTTATAGAAGGAGAGAGAAATAAGAGAGCTTTTGAATGAGTTGAGAACACTTTGGTACAAATGAGAGCATGCCTTTTGTTTCTAGTCAATTTTTTGTGAGTGCCATGAGGTCCCAGTCAGTTTAGATGATTTGGTAATCTTTTATACTTTATAGAAGGGAAAAGGGTCAAAATACTCCTCAACTTTGGTTTATTGTTTGACTTTACCCTCGCCGTTAAAATGAAGTTAAATTTACCCCTTCCGTTACTAATTTCACCAAAATTACCCCTCATTAAACGGAATCCCCAAAATTGACCCAAATTACCCGAACTTTTTTTAAAAACCTTATTCCCTATTTTTAACCCAATTCCCTGACCTGCCCTTTCCCCTCTAGAGGATAACCCGATTCCCTATTCTTCAGCTTCTCTGGAGAGTATGCTAGGAGAGGGAGAAAAGGTGATTGCAGTTGAGCAAAAGCTTTCTACTCCTCCAGGGAGTGCGCACTGAGAGGGAAAGAAAGTGACTGTGGTCAATCAAAAACCGTCCGCTCCTCCAGGGAGTATGCTAGGACAGGGAAAGAAGTTGAATGTGGTCGATCAAAGACCTTCTTCCAAGGTTTACTCTCTTGAACCCTCAGAAATGATGAAGAAAAAGGCACCGCTGCCACCAAAGAGTGTTCACTCTCTGAAATTGGATTCCTCTAGTTACAAGATGCCAGAGACAGAGAAGAAAATGAAAATCTGTTTTGGCAAAGCATTCTCTTCCCTAAGTTGCTCGGACTCGGGTGCGGGTATCCGAGACGGATGCGAATCCGAGAGTCGGATTCGGCAAAATTTAAATTTTAAGATTCGGGGGTGCGAATCCGAGTATGGATACGGGTGCGGGGATACGGCTAATTGGTATACATGGTATATATAATATAAGGTGTAATATATTATATATACATGGTATAATTGTTTATTATTTTTAGAGTACCTCGAAAAATAAATTATATCAATAACAACAATAATAATATATCTAGTATAATCAAATAAGTGGATATATATATATATATATATATATATATATAAAATAAAATATTATTAAAAATATTTATGAAATATATTTAATAATGAATTGCATATTTTGGTATAATTACATACAAAATAAAAGGAGTATAATTGTTAAAGAAAAGAGAGAATATAATAAACATTAAAAGTATTAATTTATTTTATAAATAAAAAAGGACACACTTATCTAGAGAAACCCTTAGCCTTTAGTTTTCTTTTTCAAGAAAAGTTGAAAAGACTTTACTTTTTCAAAAAAATAAAAAAGTTGTACTTCCTGTACTTTTTCAAGAAAAAACTCCTCCTCTTTCTTCTTCTCTTTACTTTTTCAATGAAGAAAAAACTCCTCTTTCTTCTTCTTTTTACTTTTTCAAGCTTCTTACAGCTCCGCCGCCTCTCTGAAGAGGTCGCCGGAAACTGATCTCTTTTTCCCCAAATTTTTTTCTCGGCTCTGGTCAAAGTGTCCGGATCGGATTGACCGAATCCGACACGCACCACGCACCCGCACCCGCACCCGCACCAGTGTCGCGTCGAGACGGGTTCGCCTTCAAAAATGAAGAGTCCGCGCAACATAGTCTCTTCCTGAGCAGAGAAAGCTCAAAATGGTAAAATCTTCATCTAAGATCTTAGGAGGTGTAGATGCGGGAGTTAGAAAAGTCGGTGCTGTTAATTCTAGAAAACAAAAAATTGTGTCTAAAGTATCTACAGAGAAGTCTTTGAAGATCCCAACCGGGTTATCCTCTAGAGGGGTCGGGGCAGGTCGGGGCATTGGGTTAAAAATAGGGAATTGGTTTTTTTTTTTTTTTTTTTAATTCGGGTAATTTGGGTCAATTTTGGGGATTCCATTTAATGAGGGGTAATTTTGGTGAAATTAGTAACGGGAGGGGTAAATTTAACTTCATTTTAACGGCGAGGGTAAAGTCAAACAATAAACCAAAGTTGAGGGGTATTTTTGACCCTTTTCCCTTTACAGAATCATATTTTGTGCAAGTGTTTTTACTTTCTGTATCAACCCCTGTAAACCAGTGATTTTCCTCATCACATTGATAAAATCTTTACTTTGTCAGAAAAAAAAAAGAACAAAGAAAATGAAGATGCTAAATAGCAGTAAAATAAGATGGTTGAAAATGGAGGGGTGGTACATAATGATATATGATTGAAAATAGTTACCTGTTCCTCAAAAAAAATGATATGTGATTGAAGATACCTAATGAAGTGAAATGTAGATCTTATGACTATTGTGAAACCAACAATGTTATATGAGAGTGGATGCTTATTTATTTCTTTTTTTTTTTTTTTTAAATCGGTGGTATCCATGCTAGTTGCTCGCATCTCGACTAATCCACCAGATATCTACTATTTCCATTAGCATGAATATTGGGTAACAGTAACACCTTCCACCCAAGTTTAGATATGAAAGAATTCACTTACTAGCCAAAGTTACCAGTTTCCGGAAAAAAAAAAAAGAATTTACTTACTAGCCTCTGGTAGGGTTTAGACCTTGGTTAGGTGTAGTCTATTCCAGTTTCATTGATTGTTTGGCCACACTTTTGGTTATTGTTATTAGTACCAATCATATCTCTAAATGAAGATATTGCATGCTCCTTGGTTCAAATATCTTCATGTAGAGATGATTTTGATTCGTCTTAAAAGATTAATTAATCTCTAGTATTAAAATAAACAGTTTTGAATAGAGTGAAATGGATATAAAAGATTTATATAGTTGACCCTGATTAGTCTGGGATTGAAGCACAGTTGTTTGATTGACTTTATTCTATTGAGGCTTAGATTATATTGTAGTTGATAAGAAAATCTCAAGTTTGCATGAATAAAATCGTTAAGATTTTATGCACTGGCCTTCCTGTGAAACCAATGAATATCGTCTAAAATTGGGTGGGAGTGACCAAATAGAATGGTATATGCTTAAAAAGCGATGCACTTCTTTATCGAATTTTTACTGGTTTCATGTCCATCCTTATTTGTTGATCCACTGTCTGATGACCCCATGCAGATAATATAGTTCCACCACAATAAACATCCTCTTAGTTAGTCGGTCCCATTTCTGCAAAGATTGTGTTCATTGCATTTGTTTGGTTCAAATCATATTTCCCAAAGTTCAACAACAATTTATTTGCATCTTCCATGGTTTGAACTGTGTTTTTCTACACCACGGTCAGGTTGCAATTTTGATGTGTTTTTGCCTTCACAATTCGTCACAGGAACGATAATATTCATTACTGTGCCTGCCTTGTATAATAAATTTGAAGACCAAGTGGATCGATATGCTGGAAAGATCCACAGGCAATTTTCAAGGCACTACAAAATAGTGGATGAGAGCATTAGCAGGCTGCCCCGGAGTATCTCCAAGGACAAAGAACTATAGAGTCTTCTTTTACCAAGTAGGAGCATGTTGATTTGCATGAGACAAACCTTTTAGGTGTGCATTCCTTTGATCCTGATTCTCCTTTTCCATAGAATGAGGATGATCTGGAAATCTTTCCTGTTTCCAAACTTCAGTTTGGATTTTCAGAATTAAGCTAACAATGGCAATTGTCACCGACTCTCACCATCTACGCTGTCCTTGTGGCAGGTGTTACATAGTACAGATTTTTGTAAACAGCTTGTATTTTTTGTGTGTTGTTGTTGAAATGTTAACATCTCGGATAGATAACTCTTTTTTTTACAAGTTTAACAAGCACTTCAAAAAATGAATTGCCTGTTTCTCCTTCTTGCTTATTGCCTGCCTCTCTTCTTCATATCCACATCAATGTCTATTTTCATATCGCAACCAAGCATGAATTTCAGATGATATAAGTTCTGTCATGTTATTCTCACACGAGTACTAAATTGAAGTATGAACTACATAGCTCAAACTTGACACACAGAATCTTGAAGTATAAATTGTTGAGTTCATACTTAATGACACAAATTCATGAATGTATGTATTGTTTAGTCATCCAAATCCTAAGAAAACTAAATTGACGTATGAACTACTACTGTTGTTGCTTTCTTATTATACCCATTTTTTCCAACTAAATTGAAGTATGAACTACTACTGCTGTTGCTTTCTTATACTCATTATTCTGTCTTTTTCTCTAATTGCCAGAAGTTGAAATCACAATAAATGAACACAAGCTTGAAGTTTCAATTTGCACAATGTCCCCGAAGCATGAATTGAAAAACTATACTTCAGGACGATAAAGCTAAAATTCTGAAGTAAATTTTAAAAACTGAACTTACGGACACAATGTTTTGAACCAAAAAACTAAACTTAAGGTAGAATCTACTTCAACTTTGAACTAAAAATTGAACTTATGGAACACTGTTCTAAAGTTTGAGGAAGCGTAGAAGCAGCAGCAACAATATTTGTCTGCTTTTTAAGCTGTGTCTATACATTAAATAATTTACAAACGCTGGCTTAGACTTAAAACAACAATCCTAAAAGTGACTATTTGGTGCCATAAGTTGGGTGACCAATTTATGTCTTTGGCTTATAAGCACTTGACTGATATGCACTTTTAGTGTTTATCAAGCGTGTAGACGCCAAACAATACTTACAAGCTAGTTTGACCAACTTATAAGTTTGAAAGGATTAGTGTAAGTGTTTTATTGATCTTATTCACTTGCGTTGCCTATAGAAGCAAATTATTCAAATGAAAGGCAAACACAAAAGAAAGATATGGAAGAAGAAAATGTACCAAAGCAATTATAAAGAAGGATAACATGATGACATGAAGTTGCCCTAATTCTGCTTACACAATGAATTAGGTACTACTAATAGACAAATCTATGTGATATTCAAGTGACCTTCAAATCCATAAATGGCCACTAATCAAATATCTCTAAAATTGTAAAAAAAAATAAAAATTACTAATAGGCCTAAGCGGGTGCAAACCAGCCACCACAGCAATAGAGCCAAACTCCCCACCATGAGGGAGTTTTCTCCCAAACCTACTCACCCCTTTCATGCCATATACAAATTACAAGTTGAAAACCCCTCAATTTGTGCTTATAGTAAATTAATTAATTAAAATTGAGCCCCTTCAAAAGTTTGTCCAAATTGCCAATTAGTTGGTGCAGCATTGTTGCTAATGAGTGTCCTTCCATCACTTGTAGTGACTTGAAATGAAAGACTTTGACCATTTAGATTAGAATTGCTTTGCCAATTTTGGCCCCAATTTCTTGACATTGCTTGCCATCCAGTATTAGACCCTTTAATTGAAACTGATTGAATATCACCAGCACCTCCAACATTTGTCACTAAAACCAAGTTGAAAAAAGAGTGTCCATTTACTGCAAACCTTATTCCTCCTTTTCTCATACAGGGTACCCTGTAAACAAAATCCACATATTAGTACATGTTCAACTGAACTCGTTACTTTTTATAAATAATGTACTCTTATAATAATTACTAAAGTTTACCTTCGAAAAGATACAGGGACGATACCAGCTTGGTATTTAGCAATTTGCAAGAAAGCAGGTTGTGCTAAATCAAAATGTTGGAGAGGAGGATTGCACCAACCACCATTATTGTTAGGCAGAGACGGGTTCGGAGGACAAAAATTAGTTGCAGTGACTGTAATAGTCCCTTGGAGACACCATTGAGCTGCATTGTTGCAAGTGAGCTCATAACAAGCACCACAAGTTAAACCATTGTTGAATAGTGCTGTACTTAGTGCTGCAGTGTTAGTTCCATACCCTTGGCTATACAAATTTCCATATCCACAAGCCCCCCCTGCATTTGGACAACCATATATGTTATTATACTATAACAAGTTTAACTTTTATATGCTAACAACATCCATATTAGTAATTTTGAAAATATGACATGTTACCAGTTAAAACAAGTCAAAAGTCCACTTGTAATGTACAAAATCTATACACTTTCTATGTATACAAGTTAATTTTGTTAATAATTAATGTATAGTTAACTTGATTTTAATGTGAAAAACTATATGGAAAGCAGGAGCGGCTCAATCGTCTTAGCCCCCAAATTTGAGGGCCTCATTTTCTAAAAATTAATAGGTTATAAATATATATATTTTAAAAATATCGAGTATTATTTGTAAAAGAAGTAATATAAGTTAAACAAATCTTGAATACTATATCTCAAGAAAGATTAAATAATTGGCTATAATAAACTTCACAAAAATATATATAGTAGAATTTAAGGCCTCTATTTGGATTTTGCTTTAGACCACTCATGTGTTTGAGCCGCTCAGATGGAAAGTAAGAAAGTACAAGTGGATATACATACCCATTGTGCCAGAGGCATCACCCCCTCCATAGAAAGTGGCATGAGCAGTTTGCCATCCTCCATAACCAGCAAAAGTAGAATAGAAGCAAAAGCTTAAAAAGAAGAAAACAAGTGGAAGTGAAGCCATTGAGTAAATTAAAACTAAGGAGAGGATAAGAGATGTGGGAATTGATATGAGCTAAGGGTTATGGACAAAGTTCTATTTATACAGAAAAAAAAAATAGAAGCTGAATTTTAGGCATAAGATATGGTAATTAATTCTACTAGAAAGTGACAAGTTTAAAGTGCTCACGTCTTGAAAGAAAGAATATTTAGATCAATCTGAGTTGTGGTACAGTAGTGAGACTGCTTCACACTTAATAGAAGATTTCGGATTCGACCCTAAATATGGAGATAATCTTGTTGGGAGCGCCATTCCTGAATGAGCCCTGAAGTGCGCGATCGTCAGGGTTCCAATGTAGACTCTGGACATTGAGTAAGAAACCAAAAAGAAAGAAAGAGAATAAGACCAACATGAGTTGTAGTGCAGTTGGTGGGATTGCTTCACCCTTAACCAGAGATTTTGATATGAGTCCTGAATATGAAAAAAATCTTGTTGGGAGCATCACCCTCAAATGGATTATGTCGTGCATGATTTGAATTTAGTTAGAGTTCCAATGCAGATACCGTGTGAGAAACCACAAAAGAAAGAAAGAAAGAGTATTAGAACCATTTGTTTTTTAAAGTCATAAAATAAAACAACTACCAAAACGCACATGCAATTGTTCCACTTGAGATATGATTGACCCTACTTAGCACATGCAATATTTCTCAACCCTATTTCTACGCTTTCCTTTCATTCATTCATTTGTTTTCATCTCTTATTTCCCCTAAAAAGTTGCGCCACTCAAGTAGGTGACAACGTAGGTAGTTGGAAGCTTGCTTCAACAAACTTTTTAATTGTAACTAACTATTCTACTACCATAGAACAAGCCTTTTTTTTAAGGGTGGCTAAGGCTAGTTTTACCTAATATATAAAAAGGGAATCTCAAAAAGAAAGTATAAGTAAGTCGATTTAGGTCTTATTTTATTAATCCTAATGAGGCAAAAACATATTATGAGTTTTGGAAGAATGAGTGTATTATAACTACTATTAGAAAAAGGTGAATCTAAGATATAAATTTGACATGTTTGCCGTGGTGACTAAGGCTAATTTTTATTGATAAATAAAAAAGGAACCTCAAAGAGAAGAGTACAAGTAAGGCGAATTCTCACGAGGCAGAGATGTATTCAAGATTTTGAAGGAATATTAGGTCGGTCTATTACGAAAATACTCTATCTATCCCTAATTACTTGTCCATTTTTTACTTGGCACACCTATTAAAAAAAAATTGACATAGATTTTACCATTTTACCTCTATTAATTGATAGAATTCCAAAATCAATTTACTCATTAAAGATGTTCTACCTTTTTCAAAAGGCCAAACACAGATAGAGTCCCTTTAACTTGTCCACATTTTTCATTTTGGCACTTTATCTTAGCTTTGTTCCATTTTAACCCTTGAACTCCATTTTTTAGGTTTCATTTTAACACGAAATACTATTTTTATGATTTATTTATTTTTATATATATTCTTCAATTGCAACTTCTTATTTTAAATCGACATGTGTCATTTAATTTTAGTTAAAAAAAAACAAAAAATAATTCTTTTTAAAAAATAATAATTTCTTTTTAAGAGTGTTATGTATTTTTGTGTGAAAAATAACCGACGAAATTGTGTTGGTTTTCTTTCTTTAAAATCACCGACAACCTAACAAAGTCAGTCGAGTTTTAACATTGTTTAGTAGTGTTATTAGCAATGAACAAGAGTCTTTTTTTAGTAGTGTTATTAACAAAGTCAGTCGAGTCTTTTTGAAGATGGATTTTTTTATTCGTATTGATTTATATTAAAAATTAAAAGTGAGTATTTGCGTTAAATTTAGATAGCCTAGATGATAAGAAAAAATAAATAAGTAGTGTTATTTAATTTAATTGAATGTTTAAGAAAGAAAATCAAAGAACTTTCGTCAATTTATTTTCATGCAAAAATACAGAGAAATATCAAAAAATAATATTATTGTTTGAAAATTTTTATGTTCGTTCGCGAATGTTTAATTTTTTTAATTAACAGGAACACGACTATTTTTTTTAAAATAAGAAATTGTAATTGAAGAACATAAATAAAAACAAATCATAAAAAATAGTATAAGTGTTTAAATGGTACAGAAAAAATGGAGTTTAAGGGTTAAAATGGAACAAGGCTACGTTGGAGTGCCAAAATGAAAAATGAGGGCAAGTTTGAGGGGTTGTATTTGTGTTTGGCCTTTTCAAAAGCATTAACTGTTTAAATAAATTGATGATATAATAAATTAAAAAATATTGTCTTTTCTTGATTTGTCAAAAATGACAAGTAAAAAAGGACAAATAAAAAGTCAA